GTTAAGTTATATTATTTGATTTGTTGTTTTTCATGGGTTTGGTTCTCTTTAATTTTTTTATGTGTGTGTTATATTTATAATTCCTAGTTTCTAGTTTTCTGTCTCTATGCCTTCCCTGTGTTCCATGTTTAGTTACTCTAGTCTCTGTGTTTCATGTTCCTAGTCAGTCGTGTCTCCATGTCACAGTGTCAAGTCTGCGTCTTTGTGAAGGTTTCCTGTTTATTTTGATAGTTCCTTGTCCTGTGTTCAGTGCATTTGGTTTTGCTTCCTCCACGTCTCGTTATGTCAGATTAGTCCAAGCTCTGTTTTCCTCCTGTTTCCTATTCCCTCGTTACTCCGTTGTGAATTTAAGCCCTGTGTTTTCCTCTGTCTGTTGTTGTAATACTCTATGTGCTGTAAGTTTCTCCAGGTTTCTGGTTTCTATTATTCTTAGTTCCCTGCTCCTTGTTTCCAAGTGTTAAGTTCTTAGTTTCCATGTTCAGGGTTTTAATTTTTTGTAAGTTATTTTATGGAGGATTTTTCCCAACGAAAAAAGCTGCTGCTTTAAGTTTACATTCCACGTACAAGTCCTGCATTTGGGTCCTTCATTCTGCCTACTGCACATGACAGGATGCAACCAGAATCCTAAAACACTGAAGCTACACAATAAGGGGTACTACACCAATGAGTGACATCACTATCGCTATGTGCATCTTTTATACAGTCAGTGCCAGTCAGACCAACAAGCCTGCACCACTGCTAAACACTTCTCACTGACTCTCAATGATTAAGTCAAAGTGTTTAAACAGACCAAATTACAGGAGACCATAGGGGTGGATGAGCAGGGTGCAGCACGAAGGTCCTGGGCAGGCTTCAACCAACCCAGCGGGGCTTTTACCTCCACCAGAAGTAACATGCTATAATTCAAAAAACGTTTTACAATTACGTTCCCCTCATAATGATCCCATTACATCTCTGGAATACCATAAAACCATAACACAGCACATCTTTACTACTATTAGTGTAACACAAGTTTTCTTTCATTCAGGAAAACTAATGGCACTTGACTGCAGAGCATACTTGCACAAACGTTCATGTTTTCCATTCATTAGCTGCTTATAGATATTTCAGTCTGGACACAACAAACCTTGTGTGACTGAAAATTGTTTTCCTGCTGCAGCATCTCCGCCCAGCTGCTGTAGAAACTGTGTAGGAAAGAGCAGAGCTTGTCTCTCAGCTGAGCGGCGCTTAAGCACTCTGGTAAAACATCTATTAAATTAATGCCTCCTGATGTACTGCTTCCTGAAACCAGCCTTTACTGGGCTGTGAATAAGGGAGTCATAACTCACTGATTCACTGAGCGAGTGTCTCACAGACGATCCTTTCATGACTCAGTAACGACACACTCAGCGTGGCTCAGTGAGTGTCGCTTCATTCCAGTAACTCATTATTGAAGCCGTCACTATACATCTAAATGACGCCTGAAAGCATTTAACTGATCACACTTACGCTTTAGTTCTGAAGGTTTTATTTTGGCCCCACTTCAGCCTTATTTAAAAGGTTGATAATTTCTCGTTTACACACAGCACCTACACAAAGCTGAGCCGAGTCTGCTTTTCCTTATTCTCTGTCATGTATCTCTTGCTCCAAAGGAAGAAGTCAGCGTACAGCATGTTCAAGAAATCCCTGCAATCCCCTATGATGCCACAGGAAGTGGATATCCCTGATGATCCCATCTTAAATCCCTCTGTTTGCAAGAGACAGCCAATCAGAATCAAGTTGTCTCAAAGGGGGAAGAGCTAAAATGGCTTGTTACAGAAATGACATGAAATGAGAGGTTGTACTGAGGCCCAGTATGAAATAAATAAGGATTATTTTGAACTGTGAATCATACAAAGCTGCTCTAATAGATCCCAAGTGTAACAGCAGGACCTGGAAAGGAGATGATTAAGGTCACTTCGCTTTTGTTGCATTTAAGATCAATTTTGGCTGTTTAATCTGTCAACCAATCAAATTCAAGAATTCGAGAGAGTTTAAGAAGCCCTGAGTCTTTTCAGTTTCAAAAACTCAGCTGACTAGCAAGGGGTGCCTCAGAACCTCAGGGACAATACGTGTCAGTGTAGGCCAGTCATTAACCAAACCCTGCTTTTTTAACTCAAGTGGGACCAAAAGGCACAAACTGAAAATCCTCCTGCACTAACTAAGACTTGAAACTAGAGACGGAGACCATAAACTCATCAGGAAAGTGTTTACTAAGCTCACACAGAAACCAAGTTAAGGACAGATTTCTTTTTGCCATCAGAGGAGTCACCCCCTGCTGGCCTTTAAAAACCATGCAGGTTTATGCAGATTGTTGGCTTCATGCTCCAGAACCAGAAGTATGTTGGCATACTTTGGCATGCAGAGAGGAGCAGCCAGGGATCGAACCACCAACTTTCCAGTTAGCGGATGGCCTGCTCCTCCTCCTGATTGTTGACCATCAAATCACTATGTTGCAGGATTTTAGCTCCTCCCTGTGTTTAGGTGGAGACAACAGTCTTGTATTAAAGACGTACCAAGCCAGTTTTGGAAGGTTAAAAGCATGGGGGTAGTATTAACCCGCAGGTTTCTCAGCCAAACAGCCAAACATCTGGTTTGGAGATTTTTGTTTTCTACTTTTTTTCCCCCGACTTGCCATTTGACTTCTTTGCTACAACATTAGGTTTGAAGATGGTGGTTTGAGTTAACATGCACCTCTTCACAACATTAACCCTGCACGAAAACCTAAGAGTTAGGATCAGTGACTGTGCCAGTCTTACTAATCCTATCCCTGAGTTTATAACATAGTGAGGCCCTGGTGTTTGCTATGAAGACTATGGTTTCAGTCAGTGACACTACAGGGAGGACTCAGTCTGTTTCCTAGACTTTTTAAATACTCGAACACTTGTCCACCCAAGATTTAGTCACATCGCCATCTGTCATTTTTCTTTTCACTCTTTTCCTCTTTCAGTTCTCCATGGTGGACCATCAGGTATCATGGGTCATTCAGATGTTTTTGATCTCAATCTTTGTCTAGCAGCACCGTCATCCTTTTGTCCATTAAATACCTGAATTGTGTGGTTGGTTTGCAGTAGGTGTTTAGGTCCTACACAATCATTTTCATAACAGTTCTTTCTCAACTGTTGATGGTGCAAATCTACTACACTGTTTCTCTGTGCACACATCTGTCCCCTCTACTGTTCGGCCAGATTTCCCATCAGAGTCGAGGGTTGGGGGATGCAGGGTGTGGTATGCTGCACAAACTGAACTCTGAATGTTATTTGTGACACTTGAGCCTTTCTGTGTCTCTGTTTTGTAACTCCACACGCTTTCTATTTTTGCCAGCTTCGCGCAGACATCTACTGCATCATCTGCTTCTGTCATATTTTCCATTTCTAGGTTAAAGGATGTTGTTTGTTGAAGAGATTGTGCAGACAAATTTATGATTTGGGGGTTATATTAATAAATCTATTAGAAAAACCTGGCATGGGATAAGAGTACAGTTTTTCTTTGGACATTTATTAAAGTGATCCGTGTGGGAAACCAGAGCATGGCCTCCCACTCTCCTTTTAGAGTCTAGAATTTGCATCATGAATGTGCAGTATGTGATGAAATAATCAAGTTTGGAAAGGAAGGCCTTTAAACCCGTTAAATTGTAAACAAAAAATGTTTTACCGCTTTCAGTAATTCTGAGTAAGTTTAATCATTCATCATGAATTATTTGGATATGCTTTAATTGATAAAACATATACAGGTGTAGGTGAAAGGTTCATGAAGAGGTTTATTAGCCTGTGAGCTCAAACCTGACCCCAACCTCATAAAAATGTGCTTCATATTTTTGTCTCTGAGGTCTTAAGGTAGTTGGAAATCCTGTTGATTTTTCAGTATTATAAAAGTCGCAAAGCAGCAAATGTTAATTAGTGACCATTTTAACTGGATTTACAGCAATGACCTTAAAATATTTTTGCCTAATAATAACTAATAATGTTATCATTTCTAAACTGAACGCACACACATCACACTTAGCTTAGATCACGTTTTTCACTCCATTACAGATCAAATCCACCGTCATGAGTCAGGTTTCCATAAATAGCTTGGTTTGAGTCACTGCTGATGTTTTGTCGACCTGTCCATCCACCCTGACCTCCTCCCTCAGCTGACTATTTGGTTCTGCAACGTCATTTGTATGACTGATGTTGCTGTGCATCGACAAGACACATTTTAAATATAACATTTCCACACTTCTGATTATTAGTATTTTTGATTATTTAGTGAATGAAGTTACAAGGAAGCAGAACACCAAGCTTGTCTGATTTTTTTCTGATGAAAAAACGGGAAATAATTCAGCTGCCAATAATATGGAACAACACCTCAAAACTACCTTAAGTAATTAGCTGATATAAACTACTGTAACAAATCTTTATTGTAAACTGCTTTATTTATTGAAATATCCTGATTTCTTTATTTTAATCATTATATTTGGACTCTGGATATTTATTTGTTGTGGAGTTTTTTTAATTTCAAATAAACATTTTGATAACTCCTCGTACTGTTTACTTGGTGATATAAAACCTATATTTATCTCAGTTTTTCTGTTAGCTGACATTTAATTTAGTTCAGATGATCTTGTCTGGATTTTTTTTTTTTCTTTAATAGCAGTTGTGATTCACCAACTCTTTATACTGATCTCTGTATCTTTGCATTTCTGAATATTTGAGGGAAAAGTATGTTTTTATATGATTGTCCTGTTTTTTGTATAATAACTGCAAACAATAAATAAATGCGCAAAAAAATTATAAATACTGTTTTGCTTCCATCAGTGTAAGGTGTTTCAGTAATGGTATACGCCAATATATTTTCAAAATTATCGGTCTATAATATTGGCATGTTGGCAAATATGATGGCACATACCCATTTCAGTAGTGGTCAGATGTTTTTCTATTTTTCTTTGTGGCAAATTAAAACAAATATATCAAAACAAGCCAGAAATCAGAGTTACTCACCTGGTAGCTCTTAATGTCACAGCTGTTCGATCCCAAAATGACTCCGGTCCTTATTAATACTTCACTTCTTCTCCAGCACTCACCACACCAGCGTGTTTGTCTTCTTTCCTTTAAATCTTAAATCCAGCCTTCACTGTGTCTCCTTTTCTGCCAAAGTTGGAGCATGGTGAAGCTTTGTCCTCTCCAAGTTTGGGCTGTATGCTCACTGGCCGAGAGAGTATGAGTGAGAACTGAAGACAGAGAGAGAGAGGAGGGGATCGTGCGAGGGCAGAGATGAGAATAAACAGACTCTTTCTCTGAGCTGAAATAAAATAAGTTCTCTTTTTGCCGCAGGATGGTCAGCCTCTCTCTTTACGCCTGCTTGTTCCCGGTCATCAGCACTGAGGCTCTGCTCTATATTTAACCCGTGCTCTCACTCTGTGTTAGCAGCTCAACTGACTGACGGACTGACTGAGGCTCGTCCAAACCCCCAACAGCTGAGCTATCAGCCCTGACCACACCTTCTCCTCCTCTCACAGCCAAAGGACTAGGTTTGGGTGCGTTTGGCTTGAGTTGTGGTTTGTTTTGTTTCACTCCAAAATATTTTTATTCTTAACAGCATGAAACCCAGATGTTCCTGCCCCTCTGTTAATGTGACATCACTGTACTTGAGTTGATCACTCAAAATTAAGTGGATTTAACTTGAATAAACAAGATCAGTAAACTTCTGGTATTCATGGTGAACTATCAGCTCTCAGATTTTCTTTGTTTTCATGTGTTTTTACCTTAAATAGTCAGTTTGTCTCATTCACTTCTTCCAAGCACTCCCCATCTTCTTTATTTCCTAACCCTAACCCTAAACTTTAACACACCATCTTCTCACCTTTCCCTAACCCTAACGAGTGTCTTTGACAATCATTTCTTTGACCTTCTCACCCCTTCTCTAACCTCAGTTTTATTCCCAACCTTTCTAATCCTCACATTTTTACTAAACTTGACCTCTTTTTTAATAATTTATGTAACGTTTAGCTTCTTTAGACCCACTTTTGTCCTGCTCACATTGAATAATTCTGAATACAGAATTGCCCGACTGCTGCTAAATATAATTTTATTTATGTGAATATGTCTGTACACAAACACAAACATATATCATGTATTCTCTATTTTAACAAGTTAAACATTCAGAGCAGGAACTTGGTAATGCAACAGTGCCACCATCTCTAATCTGACTCCTAATTTTTAATCCTGACCCCCTGAAATTTATCCACAATCACTGACCCTAACCCCCATGAATCTAACCCCTAAACCTAGATCCAGCATCTTCCCATAATGCAGCGCTGCAGCCTCCTTGCTGACCGCTAGGCTAACTGGGAACATTCCCGCGTCAATCAAGTCAAACTTCTGTTATTGCGAAGCTAGCCGCTCACAATGGTGGAGAGAAAAGTTGATTCTGAAAGCAGAGCCTTTCAGCGCCAATGGGTGACTGAATATATGTTTACAGACATTGCTGGTAAACCTGTGTGTCTTATTAGTGGAGCTAATGTGGCTGTAATTAAGGAATTTAATTTAAGACGGCACTACGCGACAAAACGTCAGGATAAGCTGAAAAACCTAAATGCAGATCAGAAACTACAGAAAGTAGAAGAGCTAAAGAAGAATCTGACATTTCAGCAGACATTTTCCACCAGAGCAAAATCACAAAGTGAAGCTGTTGTGAAAGAAAATTTTATTGTAGCAGAGGAGACAGCCAAATCAGCCCGGTACCACTCTGAAGAGCTGCATGATGAAGCTGTGCGTTGTCTTGTGTCCAGACAAAACGCAGATTTTGGCAAATGTGAGCCTGAGGAGAAATACGATTGCTGATCGAGATTGTGAGATGGCCACTGATTTAAGAACACGGTTGTGTGAAAGAAGCAAAAACTTTATTGCATACTCTCTTGCTGTGGATGAAAGTACAGACATGATGGACATTGCACAGCTGGCCATCTTCATCCGTGGAGAGGAAATATTGAACATTAAATCAATGCACGGGACAACGACAGGAAAAGAAACTGCCCTGGGACAAACTTGTTGGACTTACAACAGATGGAGCGCCGGTGTTGTGCGGTGAAATAAGCCACACAACACCGGCGCTCCATCTGCTAGTCAGCAGGATGCGAGTAAAGATGCAGGAGGAGAACTGTACCAGTGAGTTAACAGCATATCACTGCATCATACACCAGGAAAGGCTGCGTGGTAAAGTCCTAAAAATGGAGCATGTAATGATCACCGTAACGCAGACCGTAAATTTTATCTGAGCTAAAAGTTTAAATCACTGTCAATTTCAGTCTTTTATGTGGGAAATAGATTCAGAGTTTGCCCACATTCCTTATCAGACAGAGGTCCGTTGGCTGAGTTGGGATAAAAATTCTCAATAAAGTTTTTGAGCTCAGCAAGGAAACCTGTCAGTTCATGGACATGGCATGTATGATGCAGTGAAGGCATTTCAAGTGAAGCTGTCACAAATGCACCAGTGCAACCTGCCTCACTTTCCCTGTTGCCAAGTAATGTTGAACCAAGTCAGTGGACTTTGCTGAACTGCACCTGTGCAGATTCAGATGGAGCTGCAGTGTAATGATACACTCAAAGTGGGCAAGTCCTCAGGTAAACAAGAGTAACTACCAATAAGAGTGGAGGATGCTGTTGATGCATTAGAGGGTTACCTAGGCAACCAGTGCCTGGAACGTCTGCAAAGTCATCTTTACCCCTAATCTTTAATCCTAATCTGTGTGTTTTAGGCTCTTCGTTCAGGTTCTATGTCCATGTGTAGGAAGAGTTGCTCTAATTTATAATACTGTTCCCGTGCTTTTAAGATGTGTTTCCATGTACCTCTAAATCAATGCATATCCAATCTGTGGGCACATGTATATGTTTATTTATACTACTTAATATTCTCATTGGTTACACAACTTAATCCCTAAGTAACCCCTGAACCTTAATGCTGAACACAAGCCCTACCTGGTAACCTTAAACTAACTCTAAGTTCTCAGAAAATGTGATTTTTCACAGTTTGAAATTTGCCCTTGAGAATCTTGTTAATAGGGTTAGAAAAATTAGACCTTCTAACTAGCACACGTAAAAAACTATTAACATTTTTCCACCAAATATCCCTTTGTTCCCTTAAAGCTACGGGATATGACCAACATTAACGTAAGCACACAAAACTTTAAAGCTCTGAGAATTTCTAAGAATCAATTTAAGACCTTTAACAGCCTTTTAAAGATGTGCATATGGAAAATATTTGAGTTCATGTATTTGTAATATGACTCAATTGAAACAGGAAAACAAACACTTTTTGGACCGACTGCTTTGTAATAGTGTTATTAATCATGTTGTGGTTTATTGTAGTCAGCAATGAGCTTGTAAATGTTATTTTTTCAGTGATCTTCGGCTCAGCTTGAGTCTGGCTCAGCTGTGTACAACAATGAGCGTGTTTGCGCGCTAATTTCTCATCATTGATTGTTTTCAGATGTAAAGTAAAATCACTGTTTCAACAGCCGTCCTGAGGCTGGATCAGGCCAGGCTTTTCAAACACGACGTGATTTATTCAGGGCTGTGAACGCAGCAACATTTGTTCCTAATAAAGCAGCTCTGAGTTTGACTTTATCAATGAGGAAGAGTGACAACCGGAGCTGCGTGTTGTTGCAAAGTTTGACAACCAGCTTCAGCAGACACAACACAGCTGAGTTTGTGCTTTTAAGAAAAGTGATTTTCTTATCAGGGAGTGATCTCTCTGAGATGTTTTCATGAACAAACATTGTTAAAGGAGCTTTAGTTTTATCCTTCAACATGTTGAATCCTGTCAGCGCCTTTCATAAAAGCGAAGCCAAAACGGCTTGCATAATTACACACACACACACACGTTCATGTTCTGGAGATCAGCCTGGTCTTCCTGGAAATATTCAGTCTTATAAATGTGCCAAATACATGTGAAGGATCAATCCATGAAATAAAACAGTTGCTGGACGGTGACATGTTCACACACCCACACACTGACAGGAGGTCAGCGTCAGTCCATTTTTGTTTCAGGAGTCATCCGGCAGAGGTGTGGACTCGAGTCACATGACTTGGACTCGAGTCAGACTCGAGTCATTAATTTTATGACTTTAGACTTGACTTGAAAAAAATGTTCTAAGACTTGTGACTTGGACTTTTACACTAATGACCTGGGACATGAATTGGACTTGAACCGGTGTACTTGAAAAGACTTGATATTTCACCCCAAATATAAAATTGAACACTCATATTATATGGAAAGTGTCTACCATTAATTCACTTCATTTATTCAAACCACACTCCGTACGTATGTGTGCGTGAGCTGTAGCACAGCCAATCAAATTAACCAGATTTTTAAAAAAGAAAGAAAGAAAGAAAAAAAAAACGCTCAAAAATGCTGCAAGGAGTTGTTTTTTTCCAGGTACATAAACTATGAAGTAGTCAACAAAAAACCGAAAGTCATGCTGATGTGTGTCTGTCATCCAGACACACATCAGCAGGTCTAAAGTCACTCTGGTGTGCAGTTTAGATCCCATTTAATTCAGGTTACGTCAACGTATGATTTCGAATTTGTTTCTTAGTGGGATCACTCAAAAAGATACAGATGGATTTGTGTGAGACTTTTACAAGAACTGAGTTAGTTCAGCTTAGAAGTTTTAATTTTTGGAAGATGGAGAAAAACTGAAAACATCTTCTCAAATACATGTCAAACTGAAAGAGTTTAGAAAGTTCTAATCCAAATCCAGTCGTGACCCTTTGAGATGTGGGAACTTATTTCATGCCTTAAGAGGTATGTAGTCTCACACGTGTTTGTTGGTAAGATTACCTCAAAGCAGGTGGAGAAGAGAACCTATTAGACCTTTTGGTGCAGACCTGGATCTCTTTCTTTAACCCTTGTCTGGTGTTCGTATTTTTGTTACTCAGCCAGTGTTCATGGGTCTGGTGGACCCGCTAGAGTTTTGGCTTTCCAAATTAACACTATCAAACAATTTTATGTTAAATTACTCAACAGATGTTTACTTCATCCCAATTACAAGACATATGAACAGCAAACATGGTTAATTTTTTCCCTTTACCTTTGTTAGATCACATTTATGAATTAATGTGCTTCTCGTTTTTCTTTTATATAAAATGTTATAAATAAATCAGTTATAATCAAGTGGAGTGAGTGGAAAGACACAACACATTTACACGTGAAAAAATAATTAATTGTTTAATTTTTCTTTTGAAAAAAACTGAACACGGGTCTCACAGACCCGAACACCATACAAGGGTTAAAGCTCAGAAGCGAGGCCTTGACTCTAATGGATGTCTGAGTGCACTCTGCAAACAGCAAGAAACGTCCGGTCCAAATGTGGCCCGCATCGGCAGCTATCTCTGGGCCACATTCACGAGTCTGACTCAAACCAGCCATACTGCCACCTGATGTGTGGATGCACTCATCTA